CCCGTTCTCATCATCCCCGGATACCTGCAAAGGATACCAGCTCAATACCCAGAGCTAAGAACCCAAGAACTCTCTACCTTACTCACCTGTCATCAACTTGCTCTCCGATTTGCCAATAAACCCTCCTGTTTGCATCCTTACCTTGTGTCTCTGGCTCGTAGTGGGACAGAAGACCGGACCTAGGACATACACCTCCATGGATCCCCAAGTTCCCACGCCCGCAGAGGTACTGGAGGAATTGGTCCACACCCTTCGGGCCTCTCTCACGCCAGTCACTACTCTGCCATCTGCCTCAGTAAGTCCCATGGCCATTCCTGCTTGCTATGCTGATGGCGCAGCTGTGTGCGACGGCTTCCTTCTCCAAGTGGCATTGTTTATCGAGATGCAGCCACAGAAATTCTCCACGGAACGCTCGAAGGTAGCCTTCTTGATTTCCCTGCTAACTGGCAGAGCACTGTTGTGGGCACGAGCAATATGGAATGCTAATAGTGCCATAATCATTTCAAGGAAGTGTTTGGCTCTGCTACAGGTATGCTCTCCGTCCCAGACCAACTCCTGTGGCTGCGTCAAGGCACTTCTACCACCAGTGAATACACCTTGCAATTTCGGACGCTAGCGGCGACTAGTGGCTGGAATGAAACCGTTCTCCTCAGTGCCTACCGGCAGGGCTTGAATCCTCGCATCCGCGCACCAATGGCCATCTATGATGATACTATAGGGTTAGAGAGCTTCTTGCAAAGAGCTACACGCATCTCCCAATGGTTGTCAGCCTGCCAGCCTGACGAAGCCATCAACCAGCCTGCAGCAGCAACCAGCGGTCCCCCAGTACCAGAACCCATGCATGTGGATTCCACCAGATTCACTTGCTCTGAGCACGCTCGCCGCCTAGCGGCTGGACTATGCCTGTACTGTGCTGCTCCAGGTCATTTCATCCAAGCCTGCCCCATCAGGCCCCCATGCCCTGCGGTGAGTACCATTCAACTCGAACCAGTAATATCAACTTTATCCTTGTTACCAGTACAACTACTCACCGCCGACTATTGTTTCAGTCTCCGCCCTCGTCGACTCTGGGCTCTTCGGGCAATTTTATATCACGAAACCTCATAAGCCGCCTCCATCTGCCCCACCAACGTCAGGCCCAAGAGCTCCGAGTCGAGACCATTCAGGGACAACCTCTAGGGTGTGGGCGGGTCAACTACCGAACCCCGCAGATGAAGCTGAAGATTGGATGTCTGCATGACGAGACCATCACATTTCTGGAACTGGAGGGATTCACCATCGCTTATCATCCTGGGACACCCCTGGCTCACTCTCCACTCTCCAGAGGTCAGATGGGAACCTTGTGAGGTTACTCGCTGGAGCGAGACGTGCCGGCAAAATGGTCTCGTGGTGATCCCCACACCGCCTGCGTGTCTAGTTCGAGCCCAAGTTGCCTCCACCCTAGTCGAAAGTCCGAAACCTCAAGAAACACCCACTGTCCCGTCTGACTATATGGCGTTCCAGGATGTTTTTAGTAAGCAGCCCGCCACCTGCCACCCGCCTCCTACCTCATCGGCCATGGGACTGTGCCATCGACCTGCTGCCTGGGATGAAACTCCCCAAGGGTAGAGTATACCCTCTGTCCATCCTGGAGCGCAAGGCCATGGAGAATTACATCCAGGAGGCTCTTAAACGGGGATTCATCCAACCGTCCACCTCACCAGCTGCCTCAAGCTTCTTCGTGGGCAAGAAGGATGGGGGCTTGAGGCCGTGTATCGATTATCGCACGCTGACCCCCCAGACGGTAAAGCTGCCATACCCACTTCCCCTGGTCCCAGCCGCCCTCGAGGAACTCCGTGGAGCCCACATCTTCTCCAAGTTGGACCTGCGAGGCGCGTACAACCTCGTTCGTATCCGGGAAGGCGACGAGTTGAAGACGGCATTCATAACTCCCGCAGGCCACTATGAATATCGGGTCATGCCGTATTGCCTAGCTAACTCACCGTCAGTCTTTCAAGGCTTCATGAACGAGGTGTTCTGGGAGTTCCTTCATTGTTTCGTGATAGTCTACATTGATATCCTCATATATTCCCGGAACCTGGCCGAACATCGCCACCACGTGAAGCAGGTCCTCCAGAGGCTCCGACAACATCACCTTTACCTTAAACTGGAGAAGTGCGTTGTAACCCCACCATCCCTTCACTGTAATCACCGACCATAAAAATCTGCAATATCTCAGAGATGCTAAAAGACTCAACCCCCGTCAAGCCAGATGGGCATTTGTTCTTTACTTGGTTCCAGTTCACTATCACTTACCATCTCGGAAATCGCAACTGCAAAGTCGATGCTCTATCATGCCTGCACTCTCCCGACACACCAACCGAACCAGAACCCATTCTCCCTCCAGCTCTGATAGTCAGCCCCATTCAATGGAACATCTCCAAAGACATCCTTGATGCCACTCGCACCAAGCCTGCTCCGCTGGGAGGCCCAGAAGGCCCAACATCACAACGTCAAACCCTTCTGGGCTCAGTTCACAGAGTACCAGGCTCGGGACACCCAGGCAGCAAACAGACCCTCTCGCTCCTCCAAGCCCGGTACTGGTGACCCAGTATGGCCCGGGATGTCACCAGGTATGTCCGAAGCTACTCAGTCTGTGCCATGTCTCAAACTCCTTGACATCTTCCCTTAGGCAAGCTTGTCCCGCTGCCCATACCACAGAGACCCTGGTCCCACATTGGAGTGTATTTTGTGACTGACCTACCCATCTCCGACGGAAACGCCTGTATCCTCGTCATAGTCGACCATTTCTCTAAGGCCTGTAAATTTATACCCCTCGAAGATCTGCCAACAGCAGTAGAAACTGCAGAGTTATTGTTTTCAGAAACTACGGCATCCCGGAAGATGTCGTCTCAGACCTGGGTCCCCAGTTCATCTCCCGTGTATGTAAAGCCTTCTTCTGACTCCTGGGAGTGACCGTGAGCTTGTCCTCTGGGTACCATCCTCAGACGAACGGCCAGACACGAAGGATCCAGGAGCTCGGGCATTACCTCTGGTCATACTGCCATGAAGATCAGCACAGCTGGAGCCGTTTCCTCCCCTGGGCCGAGTGTGCACAAAACTCCCTCCGATAGAACACCACCGGCATGACCCCCTTCCAGTGCATACTCTGCTACCAACCCCCGCTCTTCCCATGGACGGAAGAGCCCTCGGAGGTTCCAGCTGTGGGCTACTGGTTCCGGGCGAGTGAGAGAGTGTGGGACTCGGCTCACGTCCACCTCCAACAAGCAGTGTGGAGGCATAAGGCCTTCGCAGATGCCCAGTGCACTTCTACTCCTACTTACCAGCCTGAAGAGAAGGTCTGGCTGTCCACCCGAGATCTGCGCCTCCACATGCCCTGTAACAAGCTGAGTCCCCGCTACATTGGTCCATTCCCCATACAGAGGCAGATTTAATGAAGTCGCCTACCTTCTCCAGCTTCCACCCAGGTAACTAATTCACCCTGCATTCCAAGTTTCCCTCCTCAAACCTTGTTCTTCCTCCACAACAGGACCCACCGAGCCGGATGTACCTCCTCCTGAAATCCTGGACCAGCCCTCCGTTTACAAGTCAGGGACCTTCTTGATTCATGGCGACGGGGCGGTCGGCTGGAATATCTAGTCAACTGGGAAGGATACGGACCGGAGGAGAGGTCCTGGGTGGCCCAGGATGATATACTAGACCCATTGCTGGAGGAGTTTCACCGCACCCATCCTAATCCTCCCGCACCCCGAGGTCGAGGCCACCCTTGTTGCCGCATGAGGGCGTCAGGAGCCGCCCCTGGAGGATGGGGTAATGTCAGGGAGTCTCTGCCTTCACAGTCACCTATGTCACCTCAGTCACCAGCCCCTACACACACCAGATCGCAATCACCTAAGTACTGATCACCCACACCTGCAGAGACTCATTGAGCGCACTATATCCCTGCACTCCTCTCACTGCCTCACTGTCCGGTCTACCGTTCAACAACTTGACCTTAGCCTGACTCCTACCTATGTCTGACCTCTTTGTTTACTTACCCCCTAGAAGCTCCATTGATCCTGTTCTCCTACGATCCCATTCTCATCATCCCCGGATACCTGCAAAGGATACCAACTCAATACCCAGAGCTAAGAACCCAAGAACTCTCTTCCTTCTCATACTCGCCTGTCATCAACTTGCTCTCCGATTTGTCAATAAACCCTCCTGTTTGCATCCTTACCTTGTGTCTCTGGCTTGTAGTGTGACAGTACTATAACCTCTTCCACTGAACACATCTGCATAAGCCCATATATATATATATATATATATTTCTGATTTGCGTCTTTGGATTGACTTTGTATGCAATCTACTCATGCAAATTTAAATTTGCTTTTGGTGATTCTCTTCTTACTTTTAAATCACATCTTAAAACATCTTTTAAATTAGCTTTTCCTGATTCATTTTAATTTAAAGATTCTTAACCCTCTAAGCGCCAAAGTTGCAAAATTGCGACATGACGTCATACTTAATAAAATAGGCTGTAGATCCTAATATGGTGTAATATCTCACTATCAAAAAGTAGGCTACTGTTCACATGTGTTTTTCTACTATATAGTATAGTAATATAGTAATAATTTAGTACTTTCTCCTGTGTTATTGTTGGTTTCCTCTTTTCTGATCATTTGGAATGAGGATAAAAATACAAAAAAAACATGTAAATAAGTTCAAACATCAATTCAATATCTACTATTTCCTGACCATTACTGATGAACTGATCAAAAAGTAGGCTACTGTTCACGTGTTTTTCTTGACATGACTTAGTTTCTCGTAATAATGACTTAGTTTCTTATAAAAATAATGACTTATTTTCTCATAATAATGAGAAAGTTTCTCGTAATAATGACTTATTTTCTCGTAATAATGAGAAACTTTCTCATAATAATGACTTATTTTCTCATAATAACGAGAAACTTTCTCGTAATGACTTATTTTCTCATAATAACGAGAAACTTTCTCATAATGTCTTGCTGTGGCGCTACAGAAGCAACAAAGGTTCATCTTGTCGTATTAAAATTCAATAACACATTTGCAGACTCTGATCCTAAATTAGCTATTTATGTATGCATGAAGGAGATTAAAGTCATATTTTTGACCCCCTTATTTCCTCAAAATATTTTCACAAACATGTTATGTTTGTCTAGGTGGAAGATCTCAGTCTCCCTCTAGTGTCAGTCAACAGCAGAACAGCAGTCAGGCATCAGAGCAGAACCAGAGTGAAGCGGGATATAAATCACTCATGTCTGGTCAGTCTTTACCCATTAGCCATAAATATTTACATATTTAGCTGAGTTTAGCTTTAAGTCAGTGTCAACATGAAAACATTATGTTTCTGTGGGCTTAAATTCATAAGATGCATTAATTTATTACAGGAACTGCTCATACGTATGACTCTATTGATGCAACAAATAATAAAGACATAAGCACAGGTAACTAATGACGTTACAGAAGGTAATTATGTCATGTTGATCATTTAATAAATTATTTGTTTTCTAAATAACCAAAACCATCTTTGTTTTGCATTTCACTGTGATATTTGCAGAGAAAATTCAGTTAAAACAAATGTCTTCTTCTTTTCTCTGTTATTCATTGTAGACATTGTAAGTGGACCTGCTGAAGTCACCTATGCTGAGATTGAACTCAAATCCACAGAGAAACAGAAGAAAAAGAACGAAAACAAAGGTATTTTTAAACAAAAGTTGATGCTCGTATGGTTTTATGATCATGACAATAGTGTACAGCAGAGCTAAAGACCTCTTGGAGGAAAAGCCCCTTTGATTTAAATTTCTCCCACAACACTGAATAGCAACAAACACTACCAGCATTTTCCTAAACACCCATTCTGAAATCAGCCTGATCCATAAAGGTCATTGCATGCAAATTACAATACGTTGATTTTGAGGTAATTTGGTCAAACATAATTGTTTTAAAATAGATAATTTTATTCTCTCTGTAAAAAATGTAGAGATTTTATGAATATTAAATGAAGATTGGACACACAGTAAGCACTAGTGATATTAACTGTTGGCATCTTTTAGGGAAAAGCAGTGAAAGTTCTGATACTGTTTACTCTAAACTGAACCTGGAAACCAATCAAGGTGAGCGTCAAAGTAAAAACATCAATCACAATTCACAAAGAGCCACTGAAATCTGCATCTACAGTACAAGCATCATCGAGAATCTAAGAATAAAATTAAATATGCAAAAGTTAAAATGTGCATTTTTAATTCATGTACGCATTTTCAGCTGCTGGATCTAGTGATGTGACGTATGCTTACATTAAATAAATGGCTGGAGGAGAAACTTTCAATCCCAGGACACTGATGAGTTTAGGCTGAGAAGGACTGGAGAATGACCAGGATCATCAATTCTTTATCATCTTTGTGATGCTGAACAACTGATGGCAAAAGATTAAGCAGTATTTAATATCAGTGATTATCTAACCCTAACCTAACCACTTGGGTGGTGCTGGAGTGTAATTAGCATGTAATTAAAGGTTACGTCATTGCGTGGGAGAGAAAGATTGTTGACTGTAAAGCCTTTTTTTGTGTGTGAAAATTTCAGTTTCTCTTCTGTTCTTGATCTTAAATGTATTTTAGCAGGGTTTTCAAGGTCATGGAAACATCAGGGAATTTTAAAATTGTGGACAAATCATGGAAATGTTCTTAAATAGTGTTATAAATGTGTATAGTGAGTTGAATTTTCAAGCTATTTTCAACTGTAAAATATTGAATTGCTATAAATACTTCTGAGTCTAATCTTTCGATTTTACAATTGCTTAAAACTGTTCAAAGGTTTTTGACTCCTGTTCTTGTTCTTAGTTAGAAATTAGAATAATTGTTCACAATTATAATTATAAACTGTAGTTTTGCTGTAAGATTTATTATTTTTGTTTATATCTTTATTACAATAAAATAAGATCTAATTTCTGCAATGCTTGTATGTAGCATGAGTGTGAGCAACTTGGTCATCATAAATGTGATGCTACATGATATTCATGTTTATGATTGAGCAAATATGTGTAAATATCACTGAACAGATTAAGCAGAACTGAATTTTACGTACATCTAAATTTCATCTAATTTAATTTTTTTCTAAGATAATTAACTTGTCTAAATTCTTATGCATTTTTTATTTATTTTGAAAACTAGAAGTAGGTTGTAATTGGTGATGAAGGGACTAGCTGGCTTGAAAAGTTCAACTCCATTGAAAAGTCCATTCCTACGAGCAGCTCTTCCATTTAAAGAAGAAAAGTCACTAAAGACATGGTTCTTCCCCTTGACTCCTTTCTACAGCATTCCGCCAGGTCTCATGTCAAATTTATGAGCTAATTAACAATGTCTAATAATTTTGTCCATCTAATTTTGCCTAATAACTCTACATATTCTACATTTGAAGGGGTAGCTAATGATAAACTGCTCGTTTTGGCACAATTTATGTCCATAAAAACAGAAGTGCCTTTGATAGTGAAATTTGCCAACTATTACCAAAACATCCTAATAACCCTGCATTTCAGAAAGAGTTATAAAATCACATTTAAATTCACAAGCAGGGTGCAGGTTTTCCCCAACTAAATAGAAAAGGGTTGCCAAATTGTGTTTTTGACATTGCGCATTCGTTAACTTCTTCCACATTTCCTAAAAATCCCTTGCTCATATTGATTAAACATGAACAAATAAAAAAACTCCCAAGTGTCCAACACACACACAGTGAATTTGCGTGACCAGAAAAGGAAACAAGTTCAGAGCTTATTATCCATCTGAAAATCAATCAAATCCACAGATTTGCATCTTGGCTGTATCTGTGAGCTGTGAGTGAGGTTTTTCAGTGCGCATGTGACATGCCTGAGCAGTGAAGATTTCTGCTTGATCAGCAAGGGTTCTTCCATCTCACCTCTTAGTGAGAAAACCACTCTGCGGTCAACCTGCTTCAAAGCCATACACAACACCAAAGGCATAATGGAAGTCCGTAGATATTAGCTCTTGTGCCGTTTGCCAACTCACATTTTAGAGCAACCAAATTAACTTAAACAAAGACTTTTAGTCCATAGTTGCTGCTCAACCTGCATTCCCCATTGTTTACAAGATGAACAGCATAGAAAATAAAATGAGAATTTAGAGTTCCAAATTGTCTAAGTGTTTTCTACCCTTTAAAAAAACTCTCTATTACCTCTGCACCATCTTGACCATCTGGAATTTAATTCAGATGTAATGAACTGGATTTGATAGCTTTCCCAAAAAAATGATGTTTGGCAATTTTAGTATCGTGGACCACTGCTCAACAGACAATGCATTTACAAAGTGTAGACAGTGACTACTTAACTTCAAACATTACCAAGACTTGATTTGCAAAGCCAAACAGACTGTCTGAACTGTATGAACAAGGCAAAAGGCTTTGAGTCGAGGTATAGGATGCGGTGACTAATACCCCATAATAGTTTATTCTGATTTTCCTGTTCTTGGTAGTAGTAACTTTATTTATCCCCTTAGGGAAATTTTGTTTCAGTGTCTTGTTTCAATATGCGGTTCTCACAAACGACAGTACAACATAAATTTCACAACAGACACAATACAAATGTAACATCAATTAATCAAGACGTGCTAATTACTGAATGAGACCTGCTCATTACATAAAAATAAAAGGGGAGAGGAAAGCGAGAAGAGAAAAAAAAGAAAAGAAAAGAAAAAAAGGTTACACTTTACTTGAAGGGGTGTGCATAAGACCCCTTATGTCATGAATATGAAGGTTTTTTATGCATGTTTATGACAACTGTCATTAAGTGTCATTCGCTCAGTTATGTCATTTGAATGACACTTAATGACAGTTGTCATAAACATGCATAAAACCTCCTTCATATTCATGACGTGTCATGTCATGATTATGAAGGTGTCATGTCAGTCTTATGCACACCCCTTCAAGTAAAGTGTTACCGAAAAAAAACTCTTTCTTTCCTATCTTTCATAAAAAAGCTAATTGAATGAAAGTAATGAACGCCTATAAGCTTCAGCTATCTAAATAGCATGCAAATTCAGCCACCTTGTGTTTTTTATATGCAGCAGCTTCGAAAAAGGCATATTTAACTTTTTTTCTATGGTATTACACTTCTCATATTATTAGTAATAACTTATAATGCCAACTGCCAAATATGACACTTACAAATTAATACAATTTATGAATGCACATAGACAGAAAAAGTATAAAAAAGTAAAAGAAAGAGAAAGAGAAAGATTTTTTCATAGTTTTTATTTTCTATTTAGTCATTTTTTTCTGACCATCAAGTGTCAGCCACTCTCAATGCCAACTGGCAGGAAAACATAGTAAATTCTAACCATTTTTTACAATAGTTAAAGTGCCGACAATTCTATTTCAAAACTATTTCCACACAGTGGCATAGCAAACGGGAACGCAGGGCACGTACTGTGGTGGGGCCCCGCGATAACCCCCCCGAGTTGTGTCGTATCATGTGTCGACAATAGCCAGAGATATTGTCTAAAGCATCAAAAATGGACAATATTAAAAGGATTTAGCATTTCCAATTAATGTAGGCCTGTTACATTCTTCTTATTTTTAGGTTACTTTTATTATTAAATTACATGAAATTATTGCCCAGGCTGTGCTGGGGCTAAGCAAGTTTCTGATGGAGCTATAACCCCGTCAACCCCCGCCCTAGTGCTGCCACTGTCAGTGAGCATTTGAACCTTCTGTAATAGTTGCATATGAGTCCTTCAGTTGTCCTCAGTGTAAAAAGATGGATCTCAAAATCATATAGTCGTTATTGGAAAGGGTTCAAATACACAAAAATGCTGGAAAACCAAAGAATTTGTGGGAGCTGAAGGGTTTTTCTGAAGAACAGCAGGCAGTTTAACTGTTCAGGACAAACAAGGAACTCATGAACAACTATCACTAAACAAAAACACAGCTGTGGATCATTCAGGTAACAACACAGTATTAAGAATCAAGGGGATGTACTGTATGTATGGCCATTTTTATAAATTCAACTATTATTTTCTCTTGTGGACTATATGTAAACTTCTTTTATGTGAAATATTCCAAAAATTTTATTTTTTATTAAAATAACTGGACTATATATAAAAAAAAGAAATTTCGGTGTCTATCCAAACACCTTCATCAGTTGTAAAAACAGGAAGTAACTCTGGCATATATATCCACAAAAGTCATATGATCAACAGACCTATAGAGGTCATATGACTACTAGATTAAATGTGTAACACATGCCAGAGTAGATGGTGTTACTGAACAGTCAAAAGCTTTACATGGATGCAGATGGATTAAGATGTACAGTACAGTATATCGACACTCTGAGCTAGCAATTAGGCCTCCTGTAAATATGTATATGTACTGTTAATATGCATTAATTTGAATGTTCAAGTCACCTAAAATTATTTACAAGTGGATAAGGATTGAGTTAACTCTTTTGAGCGCTGGTCAGACAGGTTGCTTAGATGTGTTATTTCAGTTTTCATCATCGTGAACTAGCTATAGTTTGCAGTTAAAACTTTGATGTCCATTTAATAGTAATAATAATAATAATAAATTTAGCTGATTTAATAATTATTACTTATATAAGCAGAATAAGGGGTTTATTTATACATTTGACCATTTTTCCCATAAAGCTTGACACATAGAATGCGTCCAATATATTTAGCTTCA